AACAATGGCAAACAACAATACAAAATGGTCAAATGAATCTTTCACGTGTTCAAACATCTGATGAAACAAATCGACGTCATAATAATAATTATACAAATGGAACATCAACAAAAAAAGATTCAAATTTAAATAATTCTATTCAAACTGATCATAATATATATGCTAAAGTTGAATTACAACTTGATATGTCAGATTGTAGTTATGAACATGATAAAAGAGAATATTATGCTCAATTAATAAGAGATTTTTAAAAGACAATATCAATTAATGAATTAGATAAAGCATTAAAAAATCAAGTAAGATATTAATATTTCTTCAAAAATAAATATCGAAGTTGTTCGAATGAATGATTATTATTAGAAAAGATTGTTTATAATTTTCATTAATTTTTCTTATCAACAAACGCCTGACAAAAAAACATATCAAAACTATCGAAGTGATATAATCTACTGTAGATTTCGACACTTCATGTACGGAATCATAGGCCTAAATACTGGAAAAGCTCGTGGATTTTATTGTCTTATGTGAGTTTTTTTTCTAAGTATCTGATTATATGCAAACATTAGATATACTTAAACTTGTGCTAAATACATAATATGAAACTGAAAAATATCTTAAATGTAATTCAGCATTTATTCAGAGACAACATCCACGTAGATATTAGACGAGGTTAGATATCCGAGTTTTCGATTTAATTATACACTAACGTTCAAGATGGATTTGACGTCGTACAGATGATTTTCTTTTTGTTTTATCTTAAAAGAAGTTTAATGTATTAAGATATTAGCCAATTGTAATTCAAGTTTTATAGTTTATCTGTGTCAAAGATTTCCTCTTGTTGCACCATAAAATTATTGTGCTTGATAAAAAATATTATGTGAATTGGTTTAGAATTGTTCGTACATTGAATACAAAACTATATACATAACCTTTGCAATGAAAAACTTTTTATTTTGTAATTTTCAATAGGAAAAAATATTTTCAAGGCACTTTAATTAAAAGCCAGTAAAACTTCATTGAAACATTCTTCACAACGCTTTTCTTGTTCAAAATCACAAAATACATAATTCTTCATTGTAAGATTTACGTCTATTTTTTTATTAAGTGTACGATCAGTTTCGAACGGTATTATATCTATGAACATCACTTTTCTTCGGCAACTGTTCGTTAACAGGAAGAAAATATCAAACTGAATATTTTCTGTATCCTAAAATAATGATTACGCAATGAAAGACATTCCGATAGTACTACGATACTCGTTTGATTCCGATATTGATGAAATAAAGTTCAATGACATACTTGAAGATTGTAAAAATTTTGAGCTCACTTTTTCTATCAAAAGATAAGTCATGGAAAATAATAACGGGTAATCAAAAAGTCATCTGACAAAATGTGGCTTCCAGTAGCGGCACCACTAGGATGCTGAGCCCACCGGAAAATTTTTGCAGTTGCTGTTAATGGTAGTCCCGCACGAGGTCTGAGGAGAGCTCAGCTCTCCTAGCTAAAAATCTTGGCACCGCCGTTAGGTGGCTCATTTTTCAATCTCCTAAAGGAGCTTGCAGAATTTTTAAAATATTGGCTAAGAATCAAAACTTTTGTAGAACATCTAGTTTGAAAGTTATAAGTCGACCTTTTAGAAACCCATAAGTTACGTTTGGATGCACTTCAGTGCGCCAAAAATTACTCAAAATAAAAGTGAAAATTATTTCAAATACAGAAAATAAAAAAGCAAGCATTTCTCTATACAATGCCATACTAAAGGTTAACTTATTGCAAGTTATGTGTCAACAGTGTGTATTTTTGTAAGAGATATCGTGTTAATGTAGGCAATATTTTCGATTTCTATGGACATTAGACTTGAAAAGTGAGCTTGACGCCATTCCTGAATGATTGTTCTGAAACTCTTGATTATTATATCACTTTCTAGAGAATAATCTCGCCTTTAATTCTATACAATATAAAAATCGATAATAAAAAGTATGTAGTAGAACAAACTATTGCTGCAAAAAAAAGTCAATTTTCTCCATCCAAACTTAATTTTCTTGCTTCTAAAAGGTCGACTCATAACTTCTAAATCAGAAGTCCCACAAAATTTTGATTCTTGTCCAACGTTTTCAAATTTCTACAGACTTCTTTAATAGACTGAAAAACAAATGAACATCTTGTCAAATTACTGTTCAATCACCATTAGCTATAAAAGTTTCTTTCGCATTTGAATATTTTCGGTTGTTAT